TCTGGCTTGTGGTATTAGGTCCACATGTGTGAACCTTGGGTGAATCTGCAGCTCCTCCCATTGGACCTGTAGTTTTCAAACAGGCAATTTGCATTCCCTCCCCCCGACATTTGGCATTTTCTGCAGATATATTTATTTGTTGTGATTTGAGAGGGAATTACTACTGGCATCTAGTGGATAGAGACTAGGCATACTCCTTAACTTCTACATACGCAGGTCCGCCCACTTCCCAAGAGCAAAGAACTGTCTGAGGTCATGGTGCTAAGGTTGAGAAAACTGTCCTAGACTGTAAGCCCTGGATCAGAACCCAGGAAAGGGCACATTTCATGCTATTAAATAGACTGACTGGATATTCTCAGCCCTTTAATAGGTTTATCCCTAGATAGATGCAGAACCTTCCAGTCACCAGATACAAAAAGGCTCATTAGCCAGGCTCTTCTGACACCCCCCCCCCCTTGCTCTGCTCAACAGTGTATTTCAGTACATCTGCCTGCTCTGCACTCCACTCAGTCTCTGGTGAATCCTCTCACTGCCACACCTCTGGCCTACACCCCAGTTATTGCATGCATGAAAAATAAAATCTTTAAAAATACAAATTCAAAAAGATGTATGCACCCCTATGTTCACTGGAGTACTGCTCACAATAGTCAAGATATGGAAGCAACCTAAGTACCTGACAAAGAATAGAGAAAATGTGGTATTATATACACAATGGAATACTACTCAGCCATAGGAATCTTGCAATTTGATCAACATGAATGGAGTTGGGAGATTTGCAAAGTGAAATAAGTTGGTGGGAGAAAGACAATTACCATAAGACTTTACTCATTTGTGGAATATAAAGATATAAAATAAGTGAGCAAAACAAACTCTTCGAGGGATATAAAGAAATAAAGTAGGTGAATAACACAAACCCTTAGACTGACAATGGAATGGTGATTACCAGAGGGGAAGGAGGGGACAGATGGAAGGGACTGATTGGTGGTGGTGGAAGGTGATTAGACATTTGGTGATGAATGTGGTGTAATAAATACAGTTTCTAGGGTGAGAAACTATTCTCCTGAAACCTACATATTATTGTAAACTAATGTCCCTCAGGGGAAAAAGAATCATTTCAGTTTCCTGGTCTGTTAGATAAGTGGGTTGGTTGAAATCATTAAAAAAATATATTTAATTTATTTATGCACACAGAACTGTGGTACAGGCTAGAGGTTCAGGGGTGGTGTGCAGATTCACCAGAGACATAATGAGGAGCAGAACAGGCGGATTGACAAACTACACTGCTGAGGGGAGCAGGTGGGTCAGAAGTGTACTGTGCCATGTGGGTGAGCTCCCTGGCCGGGGATGGAACTCATGCTGAAGCTGCTGTGGTCGGCTTCACCGGTTCTGCGCTTTAACCTGTTGCACCACCAGGGAGGGCCCTGAAATCATTTCTAAGTCACTGTTTAACCAATAAAAACTTATATTTCTAAAAATATTTGTTTACCATAAATCAAACATTATACTTTCTAAATTGCTTTCGTTTAATGAGTATTTCTTTTATACCAAATTTGGCTGCACTCCATGGAAACCATTTTAGGCCAATTTGGTGGTCAAACAGTGTAGTGTTTTTTGTTGTGTTCTGCCATCATGTTCCAAGGAGGCCTCATAGATGTAGGACCATTACCTAACCATGTCAGCTTTCAGTCAGCAGGTTGGGGGATTTTCTTACCACTACAGTTTGTTAGAGCCATATTTTCAGGTTTCCCTGCTCAGAAAAAGAGGTGGGATGTAGTCAAACCAAGAAACTGATGACTATTAAAGACATTATAGGAGTTTCAAATATTGTAAAATAACCTTTTTTTAAAAACGAAAATTTCTAGTTTAGTGATAAAAGCTATGTGGCTACAGGAGTTACTTTGTATTTCCAAATTCACCTGGAGTAAGAATTAAAACTCAACCTTGTCCAGTGTCTGCCGAATCTTTGTTGTCTGCCCTAGTCATCCAGGAGATGGCACTGTTGCTTCAAAGGTATGACTTCCTTTGAGCCCAGTAAAAGAACTTGGGGGCAGAAAAACAAAAGTATTGCAATTAGAAGTTCGAAAGGAAGCATGAGAAAAGCCCGGCTCACTGACCTTTGGGAAGAAGGCCTAGAATTGTTTTCAGTCATCGTCTTCCTCAATCTCTCCCTTTAGGGGCAAATGTGAACTTGAAGACCAACAACCAGGATGAGGAGACGCCCCTCCACACAGCTGCCCACTTTGGTCTCTCGGAGCTGGTGGCCTTCTACGTGGAGCACGGAGCCATCGTGGACAGTGTGAATGCCCACATGGAGACTCCGCTCGCCATCGCCAGCTACTGGTCCCTTCGCTTTCAAGAGCAGGAGTATAGCAGGGAGCATCACCTCATCTGCCGCATCCTGCTCGACTACAAGGCCGAAGTCAATGCCCGGGATGACGACTTTAAATCTCCGCTCCATAAGGCCGCCTGGAACTGCGACCACGTGCTCATGCACATGATGCTGGAGGCAGGTGCAGAAGCCAACCTCATGGATATCAACGGCTGTGCCGCCATCCAGTATGTGTTGAAGGTCACCTCCGTGCGCCCGGCCGCCCAGCCTGAGATCTGCTACCAGCTGCTGCTGAACCATGGAGCTGCTCGAATATACCCTCCGCAGTTCCATAAGGTGAGGCTGGGCCCCAGGGGGCAAGTGAGCAGGTGTGTGTGTGTTGGGGATTGGGGGTGGTCGCCCGGCTGCAGGAGACTCAGGTGGAGCTTGGTGTGAAGGCTTCAGGTAACTTAAGCTTGCTTGAGGCTTGAGTCTTTGGGGGAGATCAGCTCTGGTTCTCTATCTGATTTCATTTATACACATAATCCTACCTCCTCCTTGTCCACTTTTTTTTGTAATTAACTATTTTTCTTACAGTGCTGTAATCCCCATAGTTTTCCTGCTATCATATCACCAATGAACTATCACCATATTGTCTGGTGTTCCTCTCTCCCTTGTTTTGCACCCCCTCCCGCATCCTCCTTATAGGGCTCAGGTTTTTGGTCAGCTTACTAGCCTGGGCTTTTTCTTGACCTTTTGTTTGTTTTCTCTACATTCCACATACTAGTGAGCTAGTCCAAGTTTGTTTGAAATCTGGCACTGAGAGGCAGGAAGGAGAAAAAGAATGGCAGTAATTTCCCATGTCTTGTATGAACATCATGGTTTGGCAATATCTTCCTGGAGGCCCTGAACGATCTTAGGGCTCTGAGTCAGCAGGAAGGTGAGCCATGCCAGACAGATATATACTCGCCATTGCTTGAGCAGAATGTCTGATGAATTGATGACAGAGACTGCTTAGGAATTGGTGTGGAGACAAAAAAAAAGGCCACTTGATTTTCCAGCATATTAAAGCCAACATTTATTAAGACTAATGGTTGTATTTATTAGATAATGAGTTGTACTTATGAAGCACATTATTATGGCATTTTGCACTTCCTAATTTGTTTCATTTCATTCTTATAATATTCTTATGAGGTCAGTAGTACTTCTCCCTAGTCTACAGAGAGAAAATTGAGGCCCAGAGTAATTAAGTAACTTGCCTGAGCTCAAACAGATGCCAGGATTCCACCTGGAGCACTTGGTGCTAGTGTTCTGGGGTCACCCTATAACAGTTATATCACACTGTACTACTTTTATTTTGAACATTACATTTAGATAATATCTAATGGACTAGCAGGGATATTATGATTAGCATATTATATAAACATATTATATGTTTATTGTTTTGATAAGATTTGGCATCTACCCTCAAGTAGTTTAGACTCTTGTGGGAGAGAGAAACACAGACTGTTTATTGTACTCCGGTTAATGGTGAATCACCATGGTAGAAGGATAAATGGCAGGGTGGGAGAAGAAAAGGTGATATTGCCAGGTGGATGACAGATTTGCATTAGGTTTATGATGGTAATTAATTTGGAAACTAAAATGCCTATTACTTTAAAATAAACTAATCAAATGACATCATACCTAGCATCCCACTCATGCTAAAAACTCAGTTAACAACAAGAGTTTCATGTATGAACTAATGTAGGGCCGCAGAAAGTAATTGACAAAAGTTTCACGATATTAACCACTGTCTATAGAAGTCCTGTCTATAGCATGAGGGTTAGGTGGAAGGAAAGAATTTAAGACGTTAAGGAGAGTACACTCAAGCTGGGTGAATTCCAGATGGACAACACAGAGAACATTCTGATACAGAGGTGAAGAGTTCAGAAATCTCTGTGATCTTAAGGGATTTTTCTCTTGGTTGTCATTATTTTAATGAAAGTTTGTTATTTCTCCTTAAAATTATATGTAGTATTCAGGATGTTATGGAACTTTACAAAAACTTTATGGAGAATTCCAGATGATTATGATGGCAAGGAATAAGATAATAAATAATAATGTTCCAGTAATGTCTTGTTGAATGCTAAGCTTCATATTGATTGTTTCCCTTTATTTTTATAATGGCAGGTGAGTGCTAACATTATCCTCATCTAGAAGATAATCAAGGAAATACTAAGGAAAATTAAGATATTTTCCATAAGATACATAAAGTGGTATTTAACAAATAATTTTTTATTTAACAAATAATTACTGAGCACTTACTGTGGGTGAGGCACTGTTCTAGGAACTAGAGATAGAGCAGTGGCCCAAACAAGACCTTCAAGGAAGATGCTGTCTAGTGGGAGGCAGGAAAAACAAACAAGCAAATAAACAACAAACAAATGTCTATGCTGTGATATGTTAGGCACCATAGAGAAAAAATGCAGCAAAGAAATGAACACAATGCCATTTTTTGTTGGTGTTTGGGTATGTGTAATTTTGCAAAGGCTGATCAGAGAAGAATAAAGTCGGAAAGGAGCAAATTGTGTGAATGCCTGGGGTGAAGGGGAGAGATTGTTCCAGGTGTAAGGAAAAGCTGATCCAAGGGATAAGATAGGCAAGGGATAAGTATGTTTGAGCTAGGAGTCCAGAGTGACTGGAGTGGAGTAAGAAATGGGAAGGAGAAGCATACATACACACGGAGGTTTGCATATCACTTATCTGTGCCTTTTGGGCCTTGACCATGTCCTAGGCTTTTATTCTGAGTGAGCAAGGACACCACAGAAGGATTTAGAATTGGGAAACCCAAGTCTGATGGATATTTCAAAGATACCCTTTTGAATGCCTTTGGAGAATAACACTGGGGGAGCCAAGGCATAATAATCTAGACAAAAGATGAGAGTGACTGACACCCTAGTGGAAATGATGAAGGTGGTGAGAAGTGGTCAGATTCACAGAAAATCCTGATGTGGGAGTCAGTGAGTTTTGCTGATGGATTATTTGTGGGCTGCGAGAAGAAGAGGGGAGTCAGATAACTTCAAGGATTTTTACCGAAGGAGGAAAAAACTGAGATGCTGTTTCCAAAGATAGGAGTGAGCAATACAGGAGCAGTGGGTTTAGAAGGGGAGATAGGCGTTTTGCTGTGCTTGAGGTGCGTACTGGTCACCTGAGTAGAATGGCCACATGGATTTGATGTAACAGTGCTGAGGGTTAAGAGTAGAGATAACTACTTGATAACTATGGGTCGGAGACCTGCCTTGGCCATTTGCTGATTGTATGATTTTTGAACAAGTCCCCAAATCTCTTTAATTTCCTTCTCTGATAAATGAACCTAGAGATATCAACTTTTCAGGATTATCTGAGGAGGAATGAGGATGGCATGTAAATCATTGAGGCAGCGTGGCACTCAACAAATTGTTTCCATTCCCACTCCTCCTGAAACGAAACTTCTCCATTGTAGGAGTATTCCTACTAGCCTGCTTAGTTGTCTTCATGAGCCTGGAAAGCAGGCAGACTAATCAATTAGATGTTTCAAGGGACACTGTCCACAGTTAGCTCCCTGTTTGGTTTGGTTTTGCTCCTCTGACTTCTCCAGTCTGGCCATAGGCTGAGGAGATTTAGGATAGAGTTAGTTACTAGTAGATGGCTGGCATCATAAACATTTTTGTTACTACCCAACAACTCTGTAAGAGAACTGGCCCCCTTCCAAAGGAAAACTAAAGAAAAACTTTCAATTTACTATGCAGATGCTTCATCATGATTTAGAACGACTACTCTACAGCCCCACTTTCCAAAGAGAAAGTCATCTTTACGTCAAGTAAATGACTGACTCATTTATCCAGAAGATAAAGTGATTCGTTCTCTGGTGGATGGGGAATTCAGTTTCCTTATTTACAAGGAACAAGGTCAGAGCTGAAGATGCTGTCTTCCAAATACAAAGCAAATTTGTAGAGGGTGTATTTCACTGAAAGCCAATGTATAAATTACATAAGGGGGGGGGGAAAGAATTATAGGGTTTGCGATTGCTTTCCAGGGTACAAAAGGACATTTGATTTTTTTTTTATTTCCGCATAATTCAGAAGGAAGTGACACCCCAGGGAGCCAGGATTGGGTTTTCTTGTAGGGCAAGCAAGACATTTTTCTAGGGGAGGGACAAGTATGTGAGGGTTGGGGGAGGTAAGGATGATTGCTGCCTTTGAACAATGCTGAATGTGAAACCCACGGTATAAACAAGATCTTTGATCATTAACTAGTTTTCTGTAACAAATAGATCAATATTAAGGTCAGAGAAAGCTTTAGGGTTTCACAGTGAAGTGACTTACAAGTAGCATTGAATATGAAAGATGGCAGGGAGATTTATCTTGACTTTTTTTTTTTTTAAGATTTATTTATTTATTTATGCATACAGAACTGAGGTACAGGCCAGAGGTGCAGGGGTGATGAGAGGCTTCACCAGAGACAGAGTGGGGAGCAGAACAGGCAAATCAATGAAGTACACTGCTGAGGGGAGCAGCGGGCGGGTTAGGCAAAGTATGCCATACCATGGGGTTACCTTCCCGGGGTGGGGATCTACCTTCCCGGGGTGGGGATCGGAGGATCGAACTCATGCTGAAGTAGCTTTCACTTCTTAGTGCTGTGCTTTAACCCACTGTACCACCAGGAAGGGCCCTATCTTGAATGTTTTTAAGTCTATGCTTTGAGGTGTGGTGTTATGAGGACTGTCTGAAAGTCTTTCCAGTTGCCACACCCATAAGAAAACACTTTTTTTTTTGTCCAGTTGTTTTGTGAAGGGAGAATGGAGGCACCACAGATTCACAGAAGGTGAATTTTTTTTTAAAGATTTAATTATTTATTCATATAGAACTGGGGTACAGGCCAGAGGTGCAGGGGCGGCGAGAGGCTTCACCAGAGACAGAGTGGGGAGCAGAGCAGGCAAATCTACGAAGTACACTGCTGAGGGGAGCAGCAGGCAGGTCAGGAGAGGTCTGCCGCGCCATGTGGATCTCCTGGGGCAGGCGGGGATTGAACTCATGCGGAAGTGGCTTAAGCTTCTTAGTGCTGCGCTTTAAGCCACTGCGCCACCAGGGAGGGCCAGAAGGTGAATTTTATTGAGCACCTTTTGTTTCCCGCTCCAGAAAAGAGGGAGTAGTAGTCTCTCCCTAGTCCATGTCAGTCCTTCTGTTACTGGGAATACGCCTGGGTTCTGCCACCTGTCACTACCAAAAAAAGCCAATAAGCAGAGACAGGAATTGACTGTAAGTGCTTGTATTTTTCAGATTGCTGGCCATTGATCTGTGAGACTGGTGGGTGTAGCACCCTGAAGACCTTCTGCC